GTAGGCAGCATTTTGATGGGTTGTGTTTTCTTATCCAATCTGCAACTCTCCATCTCTTGAGTGGTGCATTTAATCCATTAACATTCAGTGTGATTATTGACAAGTATGATTTGGTTGTTGTCATTTTGTTATGTGTTTTTTCATGGTGTCCCTGGTTTCTTTGTTCCATATTATTTTCTGTGCTGACCTCATTATGTTTATTAATCCTGTTATCATTTCCTTTGTTGCTGTTGATTCAGTATTTGCTGAATATTTTTACTTGTCCTCTTTTTTATTGTGATATGAAGGTTTATCATTTTTCTTTGAGGTTACCCTATGATTTACAATTTTCCCCCTGATTTTATAACAGTCTATTCTGTCTTGCAACTCTCTTAACTTCCTCATCATTTAGAAGTCCTCTAGCTACACAGTCTTTTCCCTCTTTTTGTTTGTAGTTGTCCTCATTTGCCAGTTGATGTCTCTGGTTCCCTGTTTACAGTCTTGTGAGCTCATTTTGCTTTGCATATGTCCATAGCTGTGGTTTCTGGCATGTCATCTTGTGTATTAATTGTCGATTGTTATTTGCTATTTTTGTTTCTCTGTTCAAAGTACTCCCTTTAGCGTCTCTTGTAAGGTTGGTCTGGTTTTAACAGATTCCGTTAGTTTCTGCTTATCTGGAAGTTTCCTAATTTCATCATCATATTTGAGGGACAATTTGGCTGGGTATATAATTCTTGGTTGAAAGTTTTTCTGTTTCAGTGTTTTATATATATCATCCCATTGTCTTCTCGCTTGCATGGTCTCTGCTGAGAAATCAGAGCCTATTTTTACTGGCTGATGTTTGTATGTAACTTTTTGTTTTTCCCATTTTGCTTTCAGGATTCTGTCTTTGTCCTTGGTTTTGGTGAGTTTGATGATGATAAGTCTTGGTGATTTTCTTTTGGGGTCTATCCTGTTTGGGATTTGTTGGACTTCCTGAATGGATATGCTCTCCTCTTTTATCATATTAGGGAAGTTCTCCTCCAGCAAGTCTTGGGCGATTTTCTCAGTGGTTTTATTTTTCTCTTTCTGTTCTGGAATTCCAGTGACACGTAGATTATTTCTTTTGATGGTATCCCACATGAACCTTAGGCTTTCTTCATTTTGTTTTGATTTTTTTCTGATTGATCCCTTTCTAAAATATTCAGGT